GGCCTGAACTCTGGGCCTGGGTGCTGTCCCTTAGCTCTTCAGCTCAAGGCTAGCGCTCTACCACTTGAGCCACAGCGCCACTTCTGGCTTTTTTCCTTTTTGCTTATGTGGTGCTGAGGAATCAAACTCAGGGCCTCATGCATGCAAGGCAAGCGCTCTACCACTGAGCCACCTTCCCAGCCCCTGCTTTGTGTTTTTTAGGCAAGCTCTCTATTACTTGAGCCATGCCTGTGGCCCTTATTTTATATTTAGTGAAAGTAAAATAAATGACTGGGGGGCTGGGAAGATGGCTCAGTGGTAGAGTGCTTGCCTTGCATGCCTGAGGTCCTGGGTTCGATTCCTCAGCACCACATAAGCAAAATGAAAAAAGCCGGAAGTGTCGCTGTGGCTCAAGTGGTAGAGTGCTAGCCTTGAGCTGAAGAGCTGAGGGACAGCGCCCAGGCCCAGACTTTAGGACCCACAACCGGATCCAAAAAAAAAGAAATGACTGGGACTTAGCTTGAGGTATAGCATTTGCAGAGTATATGCAGTCCTGGGTCCAATTCCTAGTAGCACAAATGAAAAAACACCCTGTTTATGGTATCATACATCTGTAATCCAAACTCTACTTGGGAGGCAGAAACTGAGAGCATAGTATTTTGCCTGGGCAAAAAGTTGGTGAGACCCTATCTCTACCAATAAACCCAGTGTGGTAACACAGCTCCCAACTGAGAGGAAAGCATAGGTGGGAGAGTGGAAGTTCTTTCCTAGCCCAGAGGAAATGCTCTATGGAAAACAACTAAAGTAAAACTGGGCAAGGAGCGTGGTTGGGGAACTTAATTTTTAAAAACAAACAGAATTCTGTTACTTTATAGGTATATGGAGCTGCTATCCAGTTTTACGAACCCTATTCTCGGGAACTTCTAACAGAGAAACAGCTTATGCAGCTGGGCCTATTGACACCTGTGGAGAGAAAAATGGTCATCAAATCTATCAATTCAAACAAATGCATTTGCTTATTGTCACATTGGCCTTTTTTTGAAGCTTTTAAAAAATTTCTTATGTTTATCTACAAGCTCTCTGTGTCTGGACCACATCCTCTTCCCATTGAGAAGTACGTGTAATGAGTATAGATAGAGTGCTGTCTGGTGGGAAATTGGAGGTGTAAATACATGTTTCATTGTTTTACTTATAGCTCTGAAGTTGAAAGGGCAGGTAAGTCATACTCACCCTGCTTTGTACTTAACTCCCTTCTCTAATTATTGACTGTGAACTTAAGAGTGGTGCTAATGATGTCCAAATGTAACTCTTCTGAGAATTTTGGCTGAAAAGTAACATAAAAATTGTATTGCATGTATTCTATTTTCTTATTCTCTAATAAACATGACATACTCATATACTCTCCAGACAAGTGGCCAATCCAAGTTCTAAATATAAAATATCTTTAAATTGATGTAGACATTAGTAAGGATGAGCTAGTTCATGTTAAATGTAAAGTTTTGGTCTTAGTATGCAACACAATTCTTATTTTTCCTCAGTTTGTAATTCTCTGTCATAAAAATCTTTTGTAAGAAAAAAAAATAAGGGGCTGTAAAGGTGGCTCAGTAGAGCGCTTGCCTTGCATGCATGAGGCCCTGGGTTCGATTCCTCAGCACCACATAAGCAGAAAAAGCCAGAAGTGGCACTGTGGCTCAAGTGG